ATTCGATAAAAATTCGCGCAATACCAATATACATACGGCCCTGGAAGAGCACTTATCGCACACGTAGGTGAATGTCGGCAGAGAAATCATACCAGCAAGGACGTAGTGAGAGAAAGAGCAGGACAGGGTGAGCGGACTGAGCGCGAAAGAGATACAAACCACGCCCGGGCTCATCCTGACTTTCTAGAAACCGAAAACTGGATCGCCACTGCCAACATCTCGGGAGATCTCGTGAATGTCAGTCCTGGTTGATTCACGTAACAGACATCAGTCCTCGCCGCGACCGCACTCCTCTTTCTTTTGCTCTTCTTATTTCTCCTCCCGTTCCGCGTAACCGGCTACCATTTCCCGTGGACATTACTCACTCTCGGCCGCTCGGAGAAACTCCATTCGACGCAGAGAGAAAAAATCTGAGATTTTTACGTTAAAACGAATTTAATCAAAACGATCGAGGAGTACGCTGAATCATAGAAATATTTATCAATATTTTATTTCTGAATTATTTCATTGCACATTATTTTTCAGCAAAAATCAAATTTGATTTTTGAAATCTTTGATTTTATATCAAATAACTGTAAAATAGAATTTTTTAATAAATAATTAACAAACTTGGAATTCTTGAAGTTAGCATAACATTTATTTCCGCAAAAAATGCGAAACTTCTTTTCATTTTTAAAAAACTGTAAAACTGTAGAACTATGAAAAGTGCTATTGTAAATATCTTTTTTATGTTAATAATGTAAATACAATGTCGTGCTAACTTCGCAGATGCTGACGTTAAAGTACTTGTGAAGTTAGCATGACATTCTATTAATATAAAGAAACTAACTCTATAGTTCCAGTAACACTTTTCATAGTTCTACAATTGTAAAAATAAAAAGAAGTTTCGCATTTTTTATGTCATAAAAGCTAAAAATGGAAAAAATGTGCTATCTTCGATGCTCTAAAATTATTTTTAGACAGAGTTCCGGCTGCATATTTTTAATAGATTTTTTAAATTAATACAATATCATGCTAACTTCACCAATACTAAATTCTTGAGATAATGGCAATATTCAACAAAAAAAGCAGTTTTGTAGCTATTGCACAATTTTTTAATAATTGGTTTATATGATTAAATTCAGTGAGAAATTATGATCAGACCAATCATATTAAAAAATTTTACATCCGAGTTACAAAATTGTTTCTTCTACTGAACACAACTATTATAGAACATTATAGTAATTATTAGCGATTGAAGAGAATTATAGCAATGCACATCTTGACTCGACTCCTTCGTTTAATTGTGTTGCCAAAAAGTTTAAATCAAGCAACTCAGTCCAAGATCCAACAACTTAGGTTATTATCTCCTCAAATTCGACAGGGCGTCGCCCGAGGATGCGTCTGCGCTCAAATCGTGCGAAAGTTTCTCCTTGCGGAGTATTATTACAAGGAACAAGGGAAAGTACATGTAAATCGGACTTAATCGACCGCATCTCTCGCCGGACAACACACACGCTCCATCATCACTATCACTTTCCGCGCGCGAAAAGCTAAGCGGCCACGATATCGTAGAAAAATCGATCGTCGCGATTGGCATCATATTGCACATCTTACATCTACTTTCGATTTCGAAACTCACGTCGCAAGGAATTCTTCTTGAAGCTTATAATTAACGATAACTTTTCACTGTTATCGTCGGACGAGCGAGATTTTTGCGCTCGTCCACGCCTTTTACGCCTCATGTCGCCGTTCTTTTTCCGCCTCACCCTCCCGGCCGCACTGACTGCACAACGAGCAGATTTCTCTTTCACCGAAGTGGACAACCGAAGAGCAGATTAGAGTTTCTGGTTTGTAACTGGATCAGTTCGAGCGCGACGAGCGCAACGTACACAATCACTGAACGATCGCGATCTTCGAGATACAGATGTATTTACGGCTCGATGGAAGCCATTAAATCATTGCATTAATTGCTTATATCTGCGATATAAGAGATTTTCCATATCATATTTGCATATTAAGAGTTCATAAATGCAATTAATAAATATTTCATTATAAAACACTCTCTCTTTCTCTTTTTTTTTCTATTTGTTCTCTTTTTTCTTTTTTCTTGTAATAATATACTCTTCTTGTACAATATAATATACTTCTTGTATAATAGTTACTTATAGTTATTTATATAACTTTTATTTTGAATAATTTTAACTTTTAGTTTTTATGGAATATTCATAAATAATTGCTAAAATAGGTTTATTTATAGTAATAC